CCGCCAACTGGATTTAACTCCGTTCATCATGTACCATTATTGTTGGTAACATCAACAAAAATAGAAAAACTGCTTTTATCCATGGCTGCTAAACCAAATGATTCATACATCTTACAGAAAGTGTGAAATTGATGTATCAATGTAAACCACTATTAATACATATTTGAAAATTCCAAGCATTTGTAAGAAAGAAAATATGGTAATAAGGTTCTACACAAACCTTTATGAAAATTAGGGAGCCCGTATGTTTATTGTCTGTCTACAGAATCCACATTTTCATTAAAACCTCTAGTCGTTATTCAATATTTTATTACCTCTTCACCTGCAACTCCGAATCTTGCATATTGTGCAAAACGCCGTTCTCCTTCAAAATCAGTTAGATCAATTCTTAAAGTATAGTTCCCTTAAGAAATAACAACACAAATTATTTTGGTTAAACTAGCCTATCTCACTACTTTTCTGAACAGAGTATTATATAATAGAAGATTAAAACACTAATTATGTTTTTATCATGACTCTTATCTGTATCATCAACAGCATATTTTATGGGTTTTTATCTTCTTTCTTTATGCATATTAAAGCATATGTTGCTATTCTTTGTATTTATTCACCTGATTCAGCTCAGAAAATTTTAGAATTATTCCAATACAGATTTTCAAGTGTAAACAAAAAAACATCTAAAAAAAAATGGCCTTATGGGCTTTGTATTTTAGTAAGATCTTTGAGGTGGTAATGAAAGGATAGTGGGAATCAATCAATAAGTGTACACCTGAGAAAATTAGATTTTCATACTCTGAAGATAAAAGAGTTAAACTAGGACCACATCCTGATGGCATTGATTTCCATACGAATTAGCTGGCTAAGTCAATGGGTAAATTTTGTATATGCAGCATTCTACAGCAAAGCAGAAGTTATCTCAGATTGAGTGACTATTAGAAAGATGGAAATAGCTTTCTAAGACTAGCCTAATCAAGAGGACAGGCCTAGATTTACCTTCATGTAATAGCCTATGCAGACAGGTAAAGCCTGACTAAATGAATTGGTACAGCATACTACCTGACTCTGGACTGTTAGTGATGCTGACTGTGAAATGGGTAGAGGTATACTCCTGTCTACTGTTCCCTGTTTTGCAGGGGCTCCCTGCACGCCACTGGCCCAATGACAGCTTTGAACCTTTTGTTAGAAAACATATATTCAAATGTGTTTTGTTCTGAAACTTGGAGAAGTCCATGCAGACTGACAACAGAACTCAGGATTTATGCTAACAAAAAGGGTAACAAAAAATGGCCCGAAAAGAGCAAAGAAACAGAAACAATAGAAGACTATTGTTACAATACAAATCTTACCTTGGTTAGTCAAATAATGAAGATTTTTATTTCCAAGCCAATATTCACCATTTGTCAAAACAAAATTTCCAAAGCCTTCTTCATAGTCAGTCCAGACTCTGAAAGGAGTATAAATTACTAATTTATCAAAAAAGCAAGTTTGCTTGGATGTTTATCATACAATCATAGACCACAGAATAATTCAAATTGGAAGGAACCTCAGGAAGTAATCTAGTCCAATGTCCTGCTCAAGGCAGGGTCAGCCATGAGATCAGACCAGGTTGCTTAGGGCTTGTCCAGTCAGGTCTTGAAAACCTCCAAGGATGGAGACTGCACATCCTCTTTGGGGAACCTGCTGACTGTTCTCACAGTGAGAAAGTTTTTCCTTATATCCAGTCTGAACCTCTATTGTTTCAACTTATGTACGTTGTCTCTCATCCTCCCACCAGACACCACTGTGAAGAGCCTGTTTACTCAACAAGCTCTCAAACTCTGTTTTTTGAGTAACCTCCTTGTAGGTACAGGCAGGCTACTATTAGGTTCTGCTGAAGCCATCTCTTCTCCAAGCTGAACAAATCTTAGCCTGTCCTCATAGGGCAAGTGCTCCAGCCCTTGATCATCTTGGTAGTCCTCTGCTAAACTCTTTGCAGGTTCATTAAATATGGGAACATTAATAAACAAACATCTTAGACTTTATTATCTTATGTACATTGTTGATCTTCACAGAATTATTTCTATTTTTCACATGTGAAAGGCTGAATCCCACACTACATTGGTCGCTGAATCCCAGTCCGAAGAACAGTCTTAAGAGATACATTCAAAGTGGTTTAAGATTAACACATTTTAAGACCAGAGGAAAACACATTAGCTCAGTCCAATCTCTGGTATAGCACAATTTACCTGAAGTGAAAACATTTTTCCTGGTTAAATCCAGGGGATCTAAGTATCACAAGCATTGTTTCTTTATTTTCTGTGATTTGATTAAGCTGTGAAACTCGTCCAGCTTTGACTTATTGACTGATTCTAACAATTTTTGAACTCATACTGGTGCATAGTTTCAAGAATCAATGTGTATCCTGAAAGCACTGAATCTTTTCCGTGTCTACAGTGGCTTTGAAATACTTTCTCAGTGGTTTTGGTTTCATGACATCTTCTAATGGAGACAAAAATATGATCTATTTCCTTGCTGAGAAGCAACCATACTTCAACCAATGGGTGAAAGTATTAGGCTGTGGACAGGCAGTCACAAGAGAAAGCAGCCTCTGTGACTTAAGTAGCCGGTAGTCTCTGGTAAAGGAGAAGAATGGGTGGTGTGTGGTGGTAACAATTGTAAACTGCGACAGATTTCTACTCTAACTTGTCTGACCATATTTCATAAAATAGGAATAGCAAAGTTTTCTTAGCTGGATTGCAGGTTTTCATCCTCTCTGGGGATCGCTTCTCTATTTCATGAGGGTATTGTAAAGATAGTTACAGTAATTATAAACACAGGTAAGACACGAATCCACAGAAGGATGCAGATAACTGAAAAGCAAATTGGGCAAAGCAGAGCTTCTAAAAACCTTCTTGTTGCTTCTAATAACTGTAAATATTTGTAGGTTTTTATATTCAAGTCTCACAGCACCAAGAATTTAACTTCTGGACATTTCCCAAAAAATGCTTGAGTCTTGGCAAAGGCAAGGAGGTTAGGTGTCCACAAACCAAGTTCTCACCCATCTTATCTTTCCTAGAGGCATTTTACCATGAGCTACAAATTACTCTGTGGTGGTTTCTCTCATATTTGTTTGCTGATGGTATTTCAGTTCAAGCAGATTGCTTACATTTATACTTTTTTAGATTTTTACTATTTGCAAAAGACAAGGTAGTCCTTTACTTGTCATTAAGAGTTCTTGCTCCAACAATTGTTAATGCATTTGACATTGAAGTGTCCTCATGTAAAATGCACAAGCTGTCAGAAAAAGACTAGAAGAGATGTCTCTCAGAAGAGAGACAGAGCCAGAAGTGGTATCTCATCTGGAGGCTGTCCCACAGAATAACCATTCCTCCCTTTTATCTGAGATAACAACTTACTCATATAATTCTAAAGTTAAGATTTCACTTAGCTACACCTGGTTTAATGTTTTCCCACTTTATTTCCAATTTTAAGGACTAAATCCAGTACCTACCGATCAAAATTCTGGCTGCCATCAGAACGTCTCTGAAAAACAGTCCAACCACCCCCTTCAGACATGTCACAGAAGGCAAGGAATTCAGTAGGACTCTGGATAGGTTTCATCTTATAAAATCCACTTTGCTTATGGCCGTCATTGTAGATTTCTGCACAATCTGTTCACAAAAGATTCATTGGACACAGTTTTTTTAGTCCTATACTTACTGGCAAAATCAGATATCAAGTCAATAAGAGAAATAACAATCAACAGAATAACAACCAAGTCACGTCATATGAGAGTCACATATGAACCAGGCTAATACAAAGGAAATACCTCTGCAAACACATTTTTATGACTTTTAGGCATTTTCTTGTATTTGTGTTGCTTTAAAACTTTATTGAGCTGTAATTATTTTAACATTTCTTTAAAAGAATCTTTTTTCCACCATAAAATACTATCATTTTTGTTTCATTTGACTAGCAAAATAATTCCTCTGGTTTAAGTAGTGTCACTTTTAATTTACAATTATATAATCCACGTTAGAATCCTGTTACGATCATATAACTTCTCTACATATAAAACACACAGTAACCTTTAAAAACAAACATGTACTTCTATGTCCAGAAAGTCCACAGGAAAACTGCCAAAAACAAGAGTATGGAAAAGGAAAACAATTGCTGGACCTGATACTCTTGTCCCTTGTATGAAACAGGAGCAAAAATATATAGAAGACTACCCCCAAAAAGTGCAATGTATGTGTAAAATGATACCACTTTGGCTTGATACCATTTACAGTCTGGTCTCCATTGGTGTTAATGACTAATCAGCGTTTACAGCAACAACAAAATTCAGAGCTGGTCATAATATAATAGCAATGTAATTGTATAATCTTATCTTTTTTCCTCTAGGAGTTAAGAAATTAAAGGAGTTCTTTGTTTATATGTAATCTACCATCAAGCAGTCATGCAGGAAAGACGTGTAAGATTCAACATTTCTGTTTTTCCTGGCGAAGGTAGGGCTGATTAACTGTAAGATTTTCCCTGAAACATTTAGGAACATGTTGGCTGAACTTCCACGCCAGTTTGGAACTTTCTGAACTACTATATTTCTTCTCAGTGAAAGTGTCAGTGAAGATTAGCCATAGAAAATAAACACTTTATACTGAAAACAAATAGCTATGCCAGGATTTGAATAAACTCTAATAGAAAACGTGATTTAAATAACAGCTAAGTTGTCTTTCTAAAGAATGTTTGATTGGCTTATAGAAAATAGCTTTTCTTGTCCATTATTTTCTTAGTAGGTTAGCAAAACACCTAAGCATATTTTAATTCTTAGCAGGTGTATATAGTGTGGAATTTCTCCCTCACTATCTAACCCCAAATTATCCAGCTCTGTTGACATTAAAATGCTACAGCAGTTTGAATGAAATAATGCAGTATCACCAGGGAAAAGCATTTTCCAAGTTATAAGGACGGTGAAAAAATAATGGAAAAAATAATCATCAGAGACTGGAACAACTTAGATCTGTTATTTAGAATGACATTTTAAGAAAATAAACTGAGGCATATGCTAAGAAATGACAAATACCTTTCTGCTAAATGTGGTTTTAATAATCTTTTCCAGTAACAAATGAGTCAGCCATAATAACAAAAAAAAGTATTCCAGGATGCTGAATACATAAATATACAGCTAAAATTTAAAGTCAGACTTACAAGTGCTTTTAATTTCATTTTAACGGTACTTTATTATATTTGATGCCTTCTAATATGTTGTGATTTCTTACAGCAGCATAAACACTAGAAGTATATTCAAACAAGGCTATTAAAAATTACAGAAGTTTAGACTCTCTAGCATTGGACAACTAGAAATGAACACCATCCAAGAATCAGACCCCCAAATTGTATTTTCAATCCAGCTGTTGGTTTGGATGGTGTTTTATTATTTTAAGAGATTGGGCCTCACTCCAGCTACTATGGGCTAACACACTTAGCCGCCTTCCAATGCAGAGGGACCGGATCACCACCAGAATGCTGGTGAGATTACAAAAACAACTTAAAACCAGTATTTTAGAAGCTGTGATGTCCTGAGCTGAACCTAACTCAGTCAAAATGGTGCAACATACAGAATATTATTAAAGTGAGATGCAGATGTAATTATGCCAGGCTTATGTGTGTAAATATGGATGTCTCAGGGACTTTACAGATCGGAACAGAGTTGGTGTGTGCTCGTAACCCATGCGACCCTGTGAACGTGTGAAAGTGAACTGACCCTGTAGGATAGAACTTTTTGAGATTAGTCAAAGAAGGGTGTTTAGAAATCTGTAACTGTTTATTAACATTTTGTAGATGTCTACTATTGGTTTTTATCTGTTGTACTGCTGGAATTTATTCTGAATTTATTGTTCACTGATTGTTTTTTAATTATATGCTATTAATAAATCAATAAACCGCTTCAATCCTGATTTGATTCATACCGTGTGACGTTAACAATTTTTCCCTGTGACAGCAGGCCTAGGTAAAAGCTGAACACTGTGGTTTAAACAAACAGTTTTCTATGAGCTTTTAAAACAATAAGTCAATGGGCACAATTGTGCTAAAGCTTCTGGGTATCATTGCAATGAATGGAAATGAAAAGAATAGCTTCATTTCTAACCTGAATACTGTCTTTTTCCTCCCAAGTCAATGACACTGTTTTCATCTCCTCTGTCACGGTACTGAATCTCTTTCTTCTCTAAAAGCTGTATAATTTTTAACTGCTGCTGTTTCACACGATGTTCCAGAAGCCTCACCTGGCCCTGAAGTCGTATCTGCTCTTGAAAACAGTTCTGCACATCCTACAGAGGAAAACATATCTTATTGTAAAATCAATGATTTTTTGTCATGTTTAACATGTGACACAAAAAAACAACCAAACAAACCACAAATAAAATTTACCTTGAATAAAGCATTTTGGTCAGTTTCCTACAGACACTATGTTGACTTCCACCTCAATTGCTACCTCTATTTAAAATTATTTTGCATATTACAGAGTATCCAAACATATACCTGCTTTCCAAAGAGACCTTCTCTTTAGTGGCTATAACTACCAGCTCTCACTGCAAACATGCCGAGGGGACTTTAGGGAAAAACACTGTAGTACAGACCCTATTAAAAAGATTGCTTATTCTCTATCACCTGCCAGGTACAGAGATTTACTATCCAGTGAGGCCTGCTACTAACATTGTAAAGGTTCTAAAATTCCAGAGTTTTAAAGAAATACAGTCCACACTCATACGTTTTCAACTTCATTGTGTATTTTTCAAATGCTTTTAGATTACACACTTCTTACACTAAGAATATTAACATTGCCAACATAAATATTGTAAAGTTTCAAGCTCATTTTTGGCATGCTAAAATAAATAGTCCCTAAGAAGCTGCGAATATGCATGAAAAAAAAAGTTAAAAACTTAAAGTCAATACTGTCCTGTGACTTGTACACTTAATTTTGCCATGCAGTGTGGCTGAGAAATGTGTCGATTCTGATATGGTAATACCTAGCACTCATTTCCCCCTGGTGCAAATATGGATACATGACAAGAGAGCTGGACTAAATACTCCAAATTCTGACATTCTGAATGTACGCAGAGCAGTAAATAATTGTTTTTAGATTAATGACTATGGTAAAATAGCCAAAGTGAACAGAACCCAATCTAGGGAGCTTAAATTAAAACAGCCTGTACAGTTTCAAATAGATATTAAATAAATTTGATTTCAATATGGGGAAAAAAACCTTTGGGGTTTTATGATACATTTTACAAACGTGAGATGAGGTTTTGCATCAGTAACATTGTGTCTGCAATTTTATATGTGGAAACAGAGTTTACTAGCTATGGTGGTTGCAAGAGAGCACAACTAGCACGGTAAAAGCAAAATCAAAGGGCAACCTTTTGGAAATCTGATGTGCAAGATCAAATATGCAGTAGTTCTAAATTGGTGCAACCTTATTCATAGGGCAACATTATTTACATGAGCTAAGGATGTAGACCTGTAACATTTGCCATCCATATGGAATCGCTGATATCTTAGAGCATTGCCGTATCACACTGAGCTATAGAGAGGTCTGAAGTAGCATACTGATGTGCACTTCCAGTGGCATCCGCATACTTTCATTTGTATAAGGCTCAGGCTTCACCTATTTTCCATGAACACTCTCACCAAAATGTTTCATGTCACCTTCTTGCTGCAGTGATTTTTTTTTCTTCTATCTGAAAAGCTGATACCATTCTCTAAGTTTCTGTGCAGCACAAACACAGTTCTGATTAGACTGACTTCCTTGCAGTACCATTCACCACAACTCCAAGAATAGACTTTGTGAATTAAACTAACAGTATTAATTAGAATCTGCATTTTATGACTCTACTACATACACATTTTTTCATAATTAATTTGTGGTACCAGTTAAAAAGCACAGAAACTTCTGCTACTGTCAAGGAACACCCATATAAATCGTGTCATGACTACTACCTGTTATTTCTGATAGAAATAAATGTTGTAGATATCCAGACCCCACTGCTTTTTCACTAGACAGGATGCAATTAACTTTCAATAAATAGACAAATGAACTAGAGACAATTCAAGAGAGTATTTGAAGACAAAAGAATCTATGTCCATGAGTTCAGTAAAACGGTTCCTAGTCATCATGTTCCATTTGCCTGCAATATTTAGTCACACTGAAAAATCTGACTGTTGATTTTGATTGTTCTGACTTTGCAGAACAATCCTGAATATAGGCCTCCGCTTTAACTATTTCTGAAGTGTATCAGATGCTTGGTTTAATTCATACTTAACTGCAATCTAATATACATGGTGGAATAAAAGAATGGGGAGTATACACGTGGCAGGACTAGGCAGTGACCTGTTCGAGAAGAAAAGGTTCAACTGCCTCTTTGGGTTTGGGCTGCCCATGTCAGGCTGCTTTGACAGCAGGTGCATGTGCAAACTCCAACTGTCTGCTTATAACCAGGTCCTGAGAAGCCATTAAGATGCTTGACCACAAGGAGGAGCTGTAAAGTGAGAGGCATGTTTACCAAACACTAAAATTTTTAGAGAATAAACAAAGCAGCCAATGACCTAATATCCCTAGAGTCCTATCTTATTTAAGAATACTCCCTTGAAAATCTTTTTCAGTTGTTGATAGCTATACAAGATCGCTAGCATACCCTCCTTTTCTTCTAGCAGGAAACAAGACAAGAAAATACTTAAAATACATGCACAAACAGACAAACTTGCTACAGTGGCCTAGAGGAATGTTATTTGACCATAAGCACCGGTTAATGTGTAACATGTTGCATATTACAAAGAACGGATGCCCTATTATGCAGTCTTTCCAGGGTCGTTGTGTCAACTTGAATCTGCAGCTTCATATAAACCCTTCACAAAAGCTGAGCTGAATTGGGAAATTCAGAAGAGGCTTCCTTGACAGGTCTCTGCAAATTCTCATACTAGTCCCAAGTGCATACAAAAAATTACAGAGAACCGGAGAGCTGCATAGGTGGGTTGAGGAAGAGTGAATAAATCATAAAAAAAATATTTCCAGGCTCACCCTGACGAGCTAATGCTAACTATAGAACTAAAGCTGTCAAAAAACCCATGTTAACAGTCAGACCATATATTAATCCTAATCATGTTAAGTTAAGAGTGATAAAGGATTCACCATGCCACACTTACCAGTTTTACTGCAATGTTTGTTTATTGAGAAGATTAGCCTGTATAAGGCTTAACTGGGTACTCACAACCTTGGAGAACATCGTTAAGATACCTTAGGAAAGACCTGGGTGATCCTGGAAATGGTGGCCCCTGTGGTCAGGCCCTTGCAATTTCACAAGTAAGACTTCAGGTGGGTAGTCTCTTTAACAGGTGGCATGAAGAGCTACTTTCAGTTCTGGACAGAGCAGGAGTCTGCACATTTAAGGAGAGGCAGCTACAGGCAGCTAAGTGCGTTTCTTTCAGGTGTAGTGAAAATGCATCTATCACTTCACCTATTCATACTGCTAAAAGCCATTCTCCTCTTGTGATTAAATTATATAGCAAAAGTACAGAATATTATCGTACCTTAAAAAAACTTGATATCGAAATTCAGTATGACACTACTTCATATACCACCATAAAAGGTCCTTTTCTTTGAATCGAATTAAACACAAGTCTGCAACAGGCTATGTCTCTAAATATTTGTCCTGGTTTCGGCTGGGATAGAGTTAATTCTCCTTCTAGTAGCTGGTGTGGCCACTGTGTTTTGGGTTTGGTATGAGAGGAATGTTGATGGCACATTGATGCTTTAGTTGTTGTTAAGTAGTGCTTACACTGGTCAAGGACTTTTCTGTTTCCCATGCTCTGCCGAGTGCACAAGAAGCCAGGAGGGAGCACAGCCAGGACAGCTAACCCAGCTGGCCAAGGGGGTATTCCATACCGTATGACGTCATGCTCAGTATATAAACTAGGAGGTATGGTCTGGGAAGGGGGGATTCGCGGCTCTGGGGACGGGCTGGGCATTAGTCGGCGGGTGGTGTGCAGTTGCATTGCGCATCGCCTACGTTGTATATTCTATTATTGTTGTTGTTGTTGTTATTATTACTACTGTTCTACTTTGTTCTGTTTCAATTATTAAACTGTTTTTATCTCAGCCCATGAGTTTTCCTACTTGTGCCCTCCCGATTCTCTCCCCCATCTGACCAGGGGTTGGGGGAGTGAGCGAGCAGCTGCGTGGTGTTTAGTTGCTGGCTAGGCTTAAACCACGACAACGTTATTCTTAACTTTGCATTTTAAATTGATCTTTTTTTTTGTTTACTTAAAAATTGTGAATTACTTCATGAAAATGAAAAATTAACACTGATCTGATTCTCATCTGCTTTACAGATAATACACTCATTATGGGGTGAACAGTAATATATCTACATTACACATATCAATTTCCTGATGAAAAGGATTTAAGCTCACAGTGCTGGTAAATAGTAAGTGACAATCACCAGCCATACTGAGTAACTACACCATAAGAAAGAAATGACTGAGCAGAAACAGAGTTTTGAAAGTAACATACTATGAAAAGTACTGGTATCTGATACTTTGCTTTCTCTCCCTGACTCCAGCCTCCTCACTGACGTCTCTTTTTGTCAACTCCAGACAAATCCCATTACACTTTGCTGCTGCACAGCAAAACCACAATTCTCATATTTGGAATTCCACACCTATTTTTCCCATGGGACAATCACAAGTTAGCTGTGTAACTTCAGGGTGGATCAGTGTGGCTTTTAGATCTGCAGGTTACCAGACTGTTCTTTTAATGCACTACTATACTTTTTTAAAGTCATTGGAGTTAAACCAGTGCACAGCTACAGTAATATATAAGCAAAATGTAACCTAGGGTTATAACATTCAGCAGCTATAACGTATTGCTATTCCTTTTGTTAGATATGGAACAAAGTTAAACTATTACAATGTTGAAATACTCAAAGAAATGTGAATCTGATTGTGCCTGTCTCCAGTGGACAGTAGTGCCCACTGATTGAAACCAGACTGAACATAACATGTTCTGTCTGTTTCAGTGAAGCAACTGTTTGTACTACACATTGAGAAGCAATTATCTAACAACTGCTGACAGCTCTGCTCTTGGACATGTGGTCCCATATTTAACCAGCTGCTGCAATTAATGTGCATTCACAATATTTATTTCATTATTGTTTGAATTATTTAGCAGCTAGTGACCTTCCATTAAAATTGATGCTATAAATTAGACTCAGAATACTTTATGAAAACTACAAAAATACAAATTTTTTACTTAAGATGTTATTTCCTATATTTTTAGAATTTAAATGAGCTCCAAAAAATCTCTATTGAGATTAGTGTTCTAATGAGATTGTCCTGGTTTCGGCTGGTATAGGGTTAAGTTTCTTCCTAGTGCTGTGTTTTGGATTTAGTATGAGGAGAATGTTGATAACACACTGATGTTTTCAGTTGTTGCTAAGTGCCCTCCTAGTCCAAGGACAGCTCCCATGCCTACTGACTGAGCTTGGTACACAAGATGGGAGGGAACGTAATCAGGACAGCCAGCCCAGCTGGCTAATGGGGTATTCCATACCATGTGATGTCATGCTCAGTATATGAATGGTAGGTGTGATCCAGGAAGTACCGATCGCTACCTGGTTATCGGTCAGCACAGGTGGTGAGCAATTGCATTGTGCATCACTTACTTTGTATATTCTATCATTATTATTATTATTTTCCCTTTTCTGTTCTATTAAACTGTCTTTATCTCAACCCACAAGTTTTTCTCACTCTTACCTTTCCGATTCTCTCCCCATCCCACGGGGCGGGAAGTGAGTGAGCGGCTGTGTGGTATTTGGCTACCTGCCAGGTTAAACCACGACAGAGATAAAGTGTGAAAACTTAAGAGAAAAATTTCAGAATATTCTCAGTTTTAGGTCAGCTAAAGCCCATAATATTCCAAATGAAAAATCAAAAGAAAGCAAATGCATTTCATTGTAATGCCTTTTTCTCAGTAGGCTTCTATAAATATTAGTAGTATCTTTCTCCGCTAAGCAGAAGTGATTACAGAGGCAGGTGCTTCCTATTCTGCCCCTATAGAGCTACTCATCTGAACAAAAGGCTTCCACAAGATAAAGTAAGCCACAAACAATGATGCTCACCTAGTTGTAAATTCAGCAACCACCTCCATCTGGGCAATTACAAATCAACAATTCTATCCCCCAGGTCCCTACTAGTTAGGACCTAAATATCAAACTAGGAAGGACGGCCAAGACAGGCAGTACAGGACTGGTGAGGTTAGAATTATTTTAAGCAGTGGATTGAGAGAGAGAGAGAGAGAGAGTGTGAGAGTGTGTGTGTGTGTGTGTGTGTGTGTGTGTGTGTGTTAGTTAGGGTTTTTGTTGGAGATGCAGAATACATAGCAGAAGGTTTTGGGAGCTAGAAGTGAAGGAGCTTTGATCATTGCTTCTGAGTGTGAATTATAACATAGTAACATGGGAACAAGTAAGAATATGAAGCTGTGGATCTTACTTGAGAAAAAGTTGTATGGCAAGTGGACAAGGTAGAAAAGGATAGAAATATTCTTCATCCTGAGTGTCAATGACCAGAAATACTACTCTTGCAGCCGCCGCTTTAGGAGTTCCTGGGTTTTGCCTTTCTGTAAGTATGCTGCTCAAAACTAAAGGTGTTATTCTGAGTTGGCATTACCCCTGCATGGTAGTATAACTGTCTTGTGTGCCTTCTGTACAATGTGCCTATTAATGCATCATATGATACCTTTTTCAGCAAAGATATTCTATTGCCTCCTATTTCATGTTGGATCCAGTAAGAAACTGACTGGATTACTTTCTCCAGGGCAATTGCCCAGTCATTTATCTTCCATTGTATATTTATGCATTTGTTTCCTCTTTCCTTAACGGAAACTCGTCCCCACTGAACATCATTTGAGGTTATTTCCCCAGTCTTTCAGTTTTGTTCTGAATTCTAATCTTTTCCACCAAAGGTTCTACCATCCCATGTAGCTGAGACACGGTAAGCACTATGGAGGACAACGTATGAAATATTTAGGAGAAACTCTATAGGCAAATTTAATTACTAGAACTTACAGAGCTGCCCATGGCATCCATCAAGCTAGCTGCAAGGACAAAATCAATCATTATCAAAATCTTCATCCTTTGGAAACTGTGAAGTAGAGGAACAAATGAAATACTAGTTAACTTAAACATTAAAACTAAATATTTACAACTGACATCTTAAATTTTATTCGAAATAATCTATTTAACCTATAATTATTTTCTTATATATTGTAAATATAATGTATATTTAGGCTTCATTACAAATGTCTAAAATAGTCTGATCAAGTACAACTCCAAAACCCAGTAAAAACAGAATTTATCCTTTTAGGCCACTTTGTATCAGAGCTCTGCATGTACTTTAGGATAGCTATTCAAGATTCAAACCCATGCATTTTATTGTGAAACAAGACAAAAGCAAAATAGCATTTTAAAATGCTCTGAAAAGCGGGGCAATATTCCTTGTTGGCCCTTTAAAATTGGGAGAAAGCTCTCTGTTATGTTCAAGTAATTAAAACCTGAATTGGGCTAGTTGTCCTTGAACTAAAGAAGATTTGTGCAACTTCTGTGTGCCAGGAGAGAATGGAGAGAATTTTACTGTTATAGAGTAATTTTGGGGAAAAATGCATAATAGTTATCAGCTTTTACTCCAATGGTGACAAGGATGACATCTTTCAACTGATAGCTATGCATATTTTGTATTGTATAACCCATAGCATTTTAAATCCCATTATTTCATATGAAAATTATTTTATATGCCAAAACAATCATCATTGTATCTCACTGCCTTGCAAACATTAGCTGACACAGTAACTTCACAATTTTCTGTAAGGTAGATATGTGCTTTTCAGCTCACAGATGAGAAACCAAGGCCTCCATTTACTAAAATATTTACATGATTATACATGAACCAATTCTAAATTGATTAGTTAAACTGCTGCAAGCTATCAACTGAGGAATGTGAGGTTTTTTTTTTTTTAAACTTAAAATATTTTCATTTAGCATATGCTAACACCTGTTTAAACCAAAATATGTGTCCACTCTGCTTTTTCTACTCATTAAACTAAATCAGCTAACTACATGTTAAAACATTTGTGGTTAGACATAGCATAACACCTATCATAGAGATTAATGATTCAATGTCAGCATGTGCTCATTGAAACACCAGCTTTATGGAAACTTCCACTCATGTTTCTACAGGAATTAATATAAAACACCAGTGGAACTTTGGCAGACTGTGCTTTTTACTGTACAAAGATAAGCAAGGTGCTTATGTGAAGTATATTTTTCTTGTAAAATTGGACAAGCCCAATTTTATCTTCACCAATCTCTGAAAATCTTCATGCATGAGTACAAATTACAGCCAAGCCAAATTTCAGGTTTTCAACATCTACCTATAAAATACTTAGGATGATTTTTAAAATTACAGTTATCTTATTTAAGTAAGCAACATTTTTTTTTATTTTTAGTTCCGAGTTTTGCTGGTTTAAAAGCATCACATTTGAAAGCATAGAGTTGTGAGGCCCAAGTATATCTGTATAAAGCTTGTTACACCACTTCCTGCACTGGACTGATGCAGAGACAAGGTGTTGAGGGTACTCTGTACCCATTGACTCATGTTACAGACAGCTCAGAAGGTTTTTTTAAGCATTTTGGACATATCCAACATCTACCATTAAGTTGCAAAGCACTATACTAAGCTGATGTCTATCTCTAAGGATTCCAAAGGAATCCATTAAAAATCACCTATAAAATGTTTCTTGAGTAGAAAGTGTGAACTGAAAATCTTAGGCTAAGTTACTTCTATGCCATAAAATTCCTGAATTTTAAGTTGTAAGCTGTTCTTCACACTAACCAAATAAATGTTGTATCATTCAAATTAAAAACGTTACCATAATTCAATGCAACAAGTTCTGCTACTGTTTGAAGTGGTGAATTCTATGAATTTCAGGTTTAAAAAAGGAGGGAGGGGGAATCTGCAAGAATTGCCTGGCATTGAATTCTGTTATTAACTTAGATTTCAGCGGTTTCTGCCATGATAAAACATGCACTTTCACCTTACTATGGTAGTAATTATGGCTATTGCAGGCACTACTGTTTTGAAAGCAGCTGTTGCTATCTGTTGCAATGACACTGTCTGTGTGGGAGAGGAGTGACCAAAGAGTACATTAGCTATCTGGACAACCCGCAAATGATCCACCTCTGATAACTGCTGTGCCGACTTCATGCATATGTTAAATATGTTTTCTAGGAGAGACGGGACTATATTTTTTTCACTGGAAGATTCATATTTAACTGTTCTGCTTCATTCTCTGTTACTTTCATTATAAAAGCACGCTCTTCTCTCTCACATTAGTCTTAATATTCAAACTGTTCTATCACGATTTCACTGACTGTAAATGCCTGAATACTGCAATCAATCTTAAAAGGGTTGCACAGCTTTACAACTACAGTATTCTTATTTTTCTTTAAAAGACTATCAAATATATCTTGCATACTGTTCAAGGAAATTTATGTTAGTTAAAAAAAAAAAAAAAGAAGACTATCAGGCACAATCAAGGCAGATCACATCCCTTACAGCATGTGTGAGCTACTACGAGCAAGCTGCACAAGAAGAACAAAGAGCTGAGGACTGTAGAGTGTGTGCAGTTGGTTTGGTTTGTCATCTTCAGATGAAGTCACCTTTCTATTTAAAGGGTGCTAAAGCGTGTTCCTGTTGTGGGGAACTTCATAAGGACTGCACTTGGAAGACAACTTTGCATGTGTCAGCTTTAGCACTGAACTAAGATATGCGCAAAAGACATACCGAAATATAGCAATAGTCTCATAAATAAAATTCTAAATGTGATGATTTAAATACATTGCTTGAGATATTTTAATCCTGTCCCACTTAATAATTTAAGTGGGACAGTAAACCCAAGATGGATTGTTGATCCTGTCGTCACCCACAATATGAGCTCACTATGATCGTAAGAGAATTAAGAGGTGTATGAAGAGCGAGAAACTGAGAGCTCCATTTGGGAGACTTATCAGTCAGAAACAGGGAAGACATTGAAACAGAGAATACACAGGAAAAAAAACACAGAGTGGACCTGAAGTAGGAACAAGGGTTGGGGGGACCAAAATCTTTGTGCTGTTGTCTTCCCAAAAAAGGAGAAAGGTCAAGAAGACTAGGAAGAGACAGGAAAATTCAAGCTCTGAAAGGAAATGGCTGACCTAACGGTGTTTCTCTGCTTCTGTCACTGCCCAGCAGGGAGACCCAGACAAGGTAGAGGACGGGTAGAGAGCAGTGCTGATCCTGGAAGGGGCAGTACCTTGTACCTTTGAGCCAATTTCTCAGCAGGTATAAACTCCCATAGTTTATCTGATCCCACAGTTGCAGTGACATGAGATTCACTAAGTGGTCAACCCTACAGCGATAAGAAAAGTGGAAAATAGGGTCAAGCCCCATATATGTTCAAAGCACTTTGCATACACTAACTGAATCAACAGGTTCAGTCTTGGAATTAACGTGGGTAACTGTTTACTTAGTTTTCCACATTTCTACAAAAAGTTTCAGAAAAGGTTATATCAGTAACAGTTCTCTGAAAGTGTACATCCATGCTCTTTGGTAATATAAAGCTAAAGTTCTGTTCAAGCTTGAAATCTTGCTCTATGAAGACCACTTTGAAAGTCAGTTTCTTAAACTAATTTCTCGACTCATTTAAATATTTACCCTGGTTGTTATATAGCTATTTCAAATGCATTATCCAGAAATGTACATGGAGGGTAAAATAATTAAAAATGTAGGGAGAGAATATAACTGCTGATAAACATTCACACACAATGCAAGAAAAACATTCACTCCGAAAAACTGCAGAAAAATTACAAATCTTAATCCATGTCACAGATGAAAACAACTACATAACTTAGAAAATATTTTTGTGTTGTTGATGCTAGTGAATACAAAGACCTAATAAGTGCTGAGAGACTTCCAAGACTTTTGTTATAACACCTGTGTTGGTTTAACAAAAACAAAAAAACAAATTTGTGCACGGGAGATCCCTTTCCAGGAAAATTTTAATGTCAGACAGTAGACATGTGGACTAATTATCACACATCATGATAGAGTGAGAAAAAACTTTTCAAGTTGAAAACACAAGCCCTTAACAGCTGAAAAAAAGAATCACTGTTTTAATAAAATTGAAGTTTAAGGGCAACTCTTGTGAAACCTTGAAATTTTATCCATATGAGATTACTCATTTACTATTCAAAGATTACACCTGGAATGTGCACTCGCATAGCTATGCAGAAAGACTTCTCCAAAGCTATGGCATAAAAATTCTAGAAAGGTACCTTTTTCCTTCTCTGTGCCTGGGCTTTCTTTACAGGCTACTCAGACAATCAATCCTATGTTCAAATTTCCCCTAAATTTGATGTTTTTCCAAGTCTTTCAATAACAAGTTACTAAACAGATTTGATGACACTAGAGAAACTCTGTGGTATTAAAATCTTGTCAGCCTGTTTTCTTGTTCTTGAATTCTGGAGACAGCAAACTAGATGGAATTCAGATGCCTATTTCTGTTTGTACAGTGTCTATAAGAATTGCATTGCTAATAAATACAATAATAATACGAGAGAATCGGCCAAAAGGACAGATAATGACTTGAAAGATTTTTGTTTGCTTTCTTAAAATTCAAACTGGTTTTAATGATTAAACTCATGCACAAATTTTGCTTTGTTTTAATTAGGTAGTCCTCATCTGAAAAATGGACAATAATTCATGATTTGATCTACTTTCAGGCCTAAAAAGCAGCCTTATTCATACAGCCATACATTATTATAAATTTAGAAACTACAGATTTTAGTATGAGGTTTATTAACTAACTAGATATCATAGCAAAATAGCTACATCCTGCTAAAACATTCATACATCATGAGCAACATTGCACCAGTTATATGCCCTTCAAAAACATATTACCTTTAACTATAACTATAGCAATTACCCCAAATTCTTCCTTCTTCCCTAAAATGTTTACCTTTACCGTCTGGACAGAACTCAAAGTTGTTAAATCTTCTTAAGCTGATGCAAAGAATTCCAGAGCCCTTCCCAGGCTGCGATTGTTTTTGCTATTAAATTCTGTAGAGTTGAGGCTTACATCTGCTATGAGTCACTGGGCAGGAATGTTACTGAGAAGTTGCAGTTATCAAGACTAAATTGCAACATAAGAAGGAGAAGACGTTAATTCTGTGCCTAACACAACACTTCTGAAATAAAAATAGACCAAAAATAACAAATGATTATCCATTCCCTTTCACTGCTCTGATCCAGGAAATTGCGCTCAGCATTATATTCAGCTATTTGCTCCAGTGCTTTCCTGAATCAGAGCCTAAATCTCTTAGGCTTCAGGGGTATATACAGAGCATAACTGACTCAACTGATTTAGAAATAAAACATAAACACTCAGACTAGAAGTTACACGTTAGACTGATAAAAAGAATCTGCTAAAAAAAAAAACCAAACCAACATAGTACAGACAAAGCCAAAGCGAACAAGAAAAAAAGGACAAAGAATCTTGTTTGATGTAAGTCAGTATTTTTTAGCTAAACTGGAAGGCACTCAGAAGCACATGATCTCAGTGACTTAGTTAGACAAAATCACTTTCTATATAAGCTTTTTAGAGCCAGATGAATACATCAAATAATGTTTTAAAATGTAATTTGTTTTGAGTGTTTGCCCTCCTTCTATGTTGGCTCTTTCCAAAAAGTTCAATAAATGAGTATGCTTAAAGCGGTGCTTCTGGAAGAAGTGAACTCTTAAGGAAACATTGAACAAAAGTAGTAAAAGGAGTTTTACATTCCACAATATAAATATTCACACTATCAGCTTCCTTTTGAAGACTAATACTCGTTGCACACTTCCTCTAAATAACTTCTGGTGTATTATTTGGAGTCTGTTTACCTGGCAGTATTTCTCTTTACCAATTACATTACATCAACTAATTAACTTCATATTCTGAATTTCAAATATTTAATAATTGCAATAAATTTCTCATCAGTAGCCTACACTAAGAATCATTCAAAAATTCAAAATGATTCAGCAAGTCATTTTTACTGGGAATCTTACTACAGCTAATGACTTTTGCAAGGAGGGAGATACCTGTTCATAGCGTGACTCTCAACTCTTAACTTAACCGATTGTTACTCAGTGGGCAGGCTCTGAATTTACAAAGTGGAAAAAAGTGGCATTTTAAAGTCGGATTTATCATTAATTACTCTTTTATCAGTTTTTTGACAAAAGTATGTATAAAGGATAAAATGCTGTTCCTCACTTCTACACTAAATCAAGATATCCTATAATCAAGGTAAAAGCAGTCAGTTGCATTAAATCCATCTTAGATCTTCTGTGGATGTTTAAAAGAAATAGCTAGCACAAGAAATCAGTGGTCTTTATTCCCATTATATTAGCACTTTCGGCTGAGTGCCTCAGGTATGTTATCTGACAGAAGTTTTAACAGCTTTGGGCAATCCCAGACATGGATACAGGCTGGGCGATGAGTGGATTGAGAGCACACCTGCAGAGAAGGACTTCGTGGATGAAAAACTAAGTATGAGCCGGCAACGTGCGCTCGCAGCCCAGAAAACCAATTATGTATCCTGGGTTGCATCAAAAGTAGTATGACCAGCAGGTCGAGGGAGGTGATTCTCCCCCTCTACTCCGCTCTGATGAGACCCCCCCTGGAGTACTGCATCCAGGTCTGGGGCCCCCAGCACAGGAAAGACATGGACCTGTTGGAGCGGGTCCAGAGGAGGGCCACAAAGATGATCAGGAGGCTGGAGCAACTCCCCTATAAGGACAGGCTGAGAGAGTAGGGTTTGTTCAGCCTGGAGAACAGAAGGCTCCGGGGAGACCTTATAGCGGCCTTCCAGGGGGCCTACAAGAAAGATGAGGAGGATCTCTTTGTCAGGGATTGTAGTGATAGGATGAGGAGTAATGGCTTTAAACTGAAAGAGGGTAGATTTAGATTAGATATTAGGAAGAAATTCTTTACAGTGAGGGTGGTGAGACACTGGAACAGGTTGCCCAGAGAAGCTGAGGATGCCCCATCCCTGGAAGTGTTCAAGGCCAGGTTGGATAGGGCTTTGAGCAACCTGGTCTAGCGGAAGGTGTCCCTGCCCATGGCAGGGGGGGGGCAGAACTAGATGATCTTTAAGGTCCCTTCCAAACCAAACCATTCTACGATTCTATGATTCTAAAATCAGCAAACACAAGATAACGTGTTCATAATATCATCCTTTTATCATTCAGACTCAAAAGAAGTTGCAAACACACAAGAAGCTTTCATAGTACAAGGAACCACTGTTTTTTCCCTGATAAGCTGTAATGCAGGTGTTAAGCACCATTCATAAAAGATAAAGCTTTACTCTTTCTCATGTGTATGATTTTTATCCAGGAAAGTTTTACATCACTTCCAGCTGTCAGGTAGAAATACGGAAGGGTCAAAGATTGTACAACCACAATATGGTAACTCTGCGTTTGTCAACATGTACTTTCATTCCATCTGTAACAAACTAATTTGTTTATGCTCTTCTCTGCATTGTTTTAGTTTGTGTAATGCTAAGGATAAAACAGAAAACATGTAATGGACTCCATTCTAGGATTGGCTGAAATCACATATTTGAAAATGTGCATTCAGCACTGTATATCCAACAAGATGGATAATTAAATGGTCTTTCACATATACTAAACAGTAACATTAATAAATTGAAAATACTTTTAAATGGAATATGCTGCTTGGTTTCATAACTTACACGCTAGGCTTTTTTCGGGGCGGGAACAACCAAAAAAGTGCCCCATAACCCACCCTGACTAACTCCAGGAAAATTATGATGTCTGAGTAAATTTTACTTCGGGGTTTTTTATTTTTTAACGTATAAAGTAATAGCAATGTGTTACTTTTATGATAATATTTGTTACTGAAACAGAACAGAGCTGAAATCAAAGATAAGCCAAACTCAGCTTTATGACTAAAAATCTCTGTATGTCCATGTTTTTAAAGGTAGCCTCCTTTCCAAAAGTAAGTGTGTATTTTTTTACAGACTGACTTAAGAATTGCATGGTATGTTTACAAGAAAATCAGGTTAAGTAGTTATCATAACTGACAATGTGCCAGTTACCAGAATACTATTATATCTTCCCATTTTAAGTGTATTCCACGAATAAAAGTGTTGCATAAGAGCTTCACGCACATAATGCTGTGGGTGTTTGCATAGCTGACTGACATGTTAAATGGCTTCCAACATTCCAGGGCAGACTACTGACGAAAGCGAGTACAACTCTATCTGCTTGAGTGGATTTACTTTAGATCGTTTAACAGTTCACTTTAACTATATTTACATAAGAGGTCGCCCACATATTCAAGAGAATAAAATGATCAAAAAGCTACGCTGGATTTAGTCAACAGTTTGGACTGCTGTAAAAAATTATATCCACTAAGCTTTTGGAAGTTAAATATAGTTATTAGCTGTTAATATTTTATGTTTATTTGGAGACACATATCAAAAAACAGAATATGCCGTACTTATTTCTGCATTAATAGATTCTCAAGATTCCTTCTTACTAAAGCAATTTGGCATTTCAGGATTCCTTTGGAATAATCTATACCAGTTTAACATGAGTCCTACTTAGTCAAATGACAGCAACTCTCTTACGCGGACTGTCTCATTTATATACAAGAAGCTTGCACCAAAGTATTAACCAAGACCAAATTAAAGTGACATGGTTTTGGCAGTACAAATCCCTGAAGTTCATGAGATGCTGATGATGGACCTCCTTGATGCAATTCTGGTTATTCACAGGGAAGCATACGAAGAAGTCCTGTTGTACCGAACACAACAGAAATCAACACAAGGAAGCAGCATCCTTGCTCACTATTCCAATTCTCCACTTATTCAGTACTACCTTTTTCTGATGGTTACTGATTTGTGTCTCTCTAGGACATGGTTGCCCTCTTCCTATATTTCAGTTTTCTGCTTCTTTCATTCCGCTGATATGCATAGTTTCATGAGGTAATATCCAGTGTCACCGCAGTAGGCTTCAGGCTTCAGGCAAGCTACCTTAGCGTACATGATCCACCACAGGCTTCAGTCTTTGAAGCAGACAGTGGCCATTAATGTTTCACTTGCCTACTCCTTTAAGGAATATTGTGCACTTGCTTATGCGTGACAGTCAGCCATCTCTCTCATACAATTTATTAGTAATATTTTACTTTTTCAATGTCGGATGACTTAGAATACTAGAAGCCAATACCTTGCTTACTTTTGGACAAATAAGAAACTTCACAATATTTTAAAGCTCTTGATTCTTTTAACATGCTGTCTTCAAAATGCTTGCCACAATGCTAACAAAAGCAGTGGTAGAAACAAATTATGCCAAAAATACAGAAGTCCATCTATAAAATTATGAAGATTTCACCTACTATATAAATAGATTGCACAGAGCGTCCAGGGCCTATGACGGCAACCTGAAATATATGAATAACAGATCTCTAAAACTTGGATAATTGCATGATGAATTTGAAATGTTAGGGCAATAAATGTAATTTCCTGATAAGGCCAAGAGATAAGCAGAAGAGAACTTCCTATTTATTCTGAAATGACAGAATGAATGAACTTTATTTTTTGGTGTATGGACATAATATGCAACAATAAAAACCAGTTTTTAAATAATTCACCTCATTTTTGTGTAGTATTCTAAGAAACAGGTGCATAATTTAGTCATTTCAGTCATTTCATAATCTGTCATTTCAGATATGCGATACAGAAATCAGCAACACACCTTCATTATCATGGATGATAAGATCAGCAAATTCAACATATTTAGACATTATTTTATCACACTCCAAATATGACAACCCCCCCAATTCTTATTAGAAATATAAAAGGAGCAGTATCTCCCATCTTTTTCAATAGACAGTAGCAAAGACAGTATTACTAGCATAGATGGAACACATCACAGAAGTTAAAGATCTAACAAACACCTAGATCTGTACACATCTCCTTTGCAGAATATAGAAAAATGGTGGATTTGGTGAAAGCCCAGAGTAATTTTTAAAAAAATTA